AGTGTCCACGCCAGGGTTTTTTATCTCTTCACAGAGTTGTACAACCATCAGCACAATCTAGAACTTTTCCTCACCCCAAGTGGAACCTCTGGACGATGGCTGTGACACCTGTTTTCCCCTTTGCTGACCCTCCAACAGCTCTAGTGAGCTACGAGTTACTTTCTGTCACTACAGATTGGCCTACTTTAGGCATTTCCTGTAAGTGAAATCGGTGGTTTTGTGACTGGCTTCATTCACTTACCGTAATGTTCCTAAAGTTCATCCATGCAGTGGCAGGTGTCTGTCTTTGTGGCCAGACATCTGTTGAATGGACACAGCATGTAATGTTTACCCAGTACACAGCTGATAGACGTCTAGGTTGTTTCTACTTTCTGGCTTCTGTGATTAAAGCTGCGATGAGCATTTATGTACCAGTTTTGGAGCAGATGTATGTTTTCATATCTCTTGGGTGTATACCTAGATGTGGGATTGCAAGAGCAGATCGTAACTCTGTGCTGAAGCTTCTGAGGAGCTTCCAGACTTTTCCAAAGTGGCTGCGGTATTTGATGGAGCGGTCTAGCAGTGATGGAGGGGTCTGACACTTCTCTCGTTCGCTGTTTGGATTACAGCCATCCGGGTGGGTGTGAAGTGGTATCTCACTGTGGCTGAGTGGTGTCTCCCTACTGATTGGTGGCATTGGGCATCTTTTTATGTGCTTATTGGCCATGTCTTCTTTGGGGAAATGTCTCTTCAGATCACTTGACCATTTTTACTTCTTAGGTGATTTTTTTAAATTATTGAGTTGCAAGTGTTATTTATATATTCTAGATATGAGTCCCTTATCAGATACATTATTTGCAGGTATTTCCCCCCACTTTGTGGGTTGTCTTCACTTTCTTGATGGTGTCATTTGCAACCATTTAGCCTTACATCTGTGTTAGTTGCCTTCTGCCATGGTTTGAGTCCCTTCGAAGCCCTTTGCAATGCTGCTTAAGCATCCAGGTTTCCAGGGGGTGCTGTGTTCAGGATATATTTGTACGGAACTAAATTATCAGTGCTACTTGTTTTTCTCATCTAATAAGGCAAGGAAGGCAAGGGGTCTCTTTAGCTTGGTTTCCCCATGGTGAACATGTAGGCATATTTCAAGGGAATCAATTTTAACTCTCTACAAGCACTCTGGTCTGTGGGTCTCAAAAGAAATAGTGTACAGAAGGCCGAAATCTGATCTATTTTATTTATTTATTTATTTATTTATTTATTTATTTATTTATTTATTTTAAAGATTTTATTTATTCATTTTGAGAGACAGAGCACAAGCAGAGGGAGAGGGAGAAGCAGACTCTGCTGAGCAGAGAGCCCAACACGGGGCTCAATCCCAGGACCCCGAGATCATGAACTGAGACAAAGGCAGACGCCTAACCATCTGAGCCACCCAGGCACCCCTGATCTATTTTAATAGTTTGATGTCTACCATTTTATTTTCAGATAGGCAGGAATTGCTGAAACCACAGCCCTGGGCTGTACCTATAACAGAAATGTACTGAGGAATCTAACTTGGGGAGTTCCCCTTGCTCCCATCTAAGGGGGCCTTGGGCTGATTGTACTTTCCTAGACATTAACCATGGTTCTGAACCTCCAGTGGGGAATCAGCCCAGAGGCCGGAGATCTGAAAACGGGTGGCAACTTTGTGTCTTAAGCTAAGTTCACCTCAGCCTGCAAAGTAACAAGCTTTCTGTTTGGGTTGCCACGTCTTGGGCAGGCTAATGCCTTTATATCTCAATCATTACTCATATGTTTTCATCTCAAGTCTTATCACCACAGAAAGTAACCTTTTGGTTTGTTCTTTTCAATAAAATTTGTATGCTATTTTTATTTTTCTGTCACCTCTGAAACATCCCAGTTGAATGCATAAAGGGGAGTGTGAGAGAGTTCCTGCACGCACTTCTATTTAAAATGCCACCCCCACATGCCCTTTTACTGTTAGAATCATAGTTTACGTGTTAATTTTGTGCTATAATGTCATATCAAATTTAAGTGCCTAGATAGAAAACATAATATTATAAGACTTAAATAGGAATATCTCGTAGAGATTTATAAATATAAATTCTGATATTCTAATTGGATTAAACCTTAACAAGCAGTTTTTAAGTTCCGAGTCAGAACCTTAGGACCCCATATTGAATCTGATCTTTTAGGCTAAGTGATGACCCAAATGTTACCTTTTAAGAGCCTACAATCTAATTGAGGAGATAAGAGTTATAGTCTAGAGATAATTTTGGTGCCGTGAGATTTTATGTCCTATGTGGCATAGATCACAGTAGGAACCTACTCTGAACCTACTGTGAAGCTGCAGGTTTTTGAAAAAAGGAGAGTGTCTGGGGGCAGGCATCTTCCCTGATAGGATGAACAAATGTCCAGAGACCATGCCTGTGGGCCTTCGGAACCAGGACCCAAATGCAGATGACTTGGTTGCAAGTTACAGCTTCCATGTGGGCAGAGTCTTCAGAGAAAGTCTGATTGGCGGTGCTTCCAGGGGAGGCAGGAGTGGGATCGTGAATGCAAGAATGGAAAGCTGTGCAGGGAAGAGCAGTATGCCCTTGATGCCCATGGAGGGAGGGAATGGGGCACGGGCCCGGAGGCTATGTGGGGGCCACGGCTCATGGAGCCCCTAGGTGATGCTCTGGACCGCACAGGCTTATAGTCTTATTCGTTGTCTTGAGTAGTGTGAATAATTACTTTGCTAAAGAAAATTCAGGGGCGCCTGGGTGGCTCAGATGGTTGGGCATCTGCCTTCAGCTCAGGTCGTGATCTCAGGGTCCTGGGATCAAGCCCCGTGTCCAGCTCCCTGCTCAGTGGGAGTCTGCCTCTCCCTCTCCCTCTGCCCCTCCCCCTGCTTGTGCTCTCTCGCGCGCGCTCTCTCTCTCTCTCTCTGTCAAATGAATAGAATTTAAAAAAAAAAAATCAGGCTTGACCGTGGTTTTCTTCTCCAGACCTCATGTGCACTGTGCTCTGAGCACATTACATGTTATGCTTGAGCCTCATAGTGCACAGCCTGGGGCCCTTTTATTAACTCGGCTTTGCATGTGAGGCAGGGCACCATTTGATTAGGTGACTTGCTGAAGCTCTGTGGCCCAGCCATCCCAGGCTCATCTCCATCTCCCTGGCCCAGCCAGAAGGTTCTCCCATCCGCTCTGACCAAGGTCAACCATCTAACACCTGGTGGACTTAGCTCATGACGCTGCAGTCACCCCCGTCAGGGAGCTGGGCCACTCTACACACTAGCAAATGTGGAGTTTGTTCCTTTATTTGCTCTGGCCTTTTTCTTTTCTTTTCTTTTTTCTTTTCTCTTCCTTTCCTTTCTCTCTCTCTCTCTCTCTCTCTCTCTTTTTTTAGTTTTCCACAGGCTCACTCCAAACCACCAAATAGGTCGCATGAGCAATCCTGTGTTGGGGGGGAAGTTTTAAAAGTAAGATGTTTTTCTTACTTTTTATTAGTGAACTGTGACGTTCCCATTTAAGTAAACTTGAAACTTCCACACACTAATTGTAAAGCAATTATTTCCTAGACCATTTGTTCAAATCACATCTCAGCGCCAGAGCTGTCTGCACGGGGAATGTGTTAGTACACGTATATTTTAAAATAGTGTTGCTCATAGTTAAAAACTTCACATTGGAACAGTCTCCTGGGAATGTTGTCACAGACAGTTAGTAAGAATGCAGCTTTTCTTTGTTTTATTAAATCTCTTCTTCTCACTAAATGTTGGCTTTTCATCCCATTTTCCTGGTGACCTTTAGAAGCGTGTGGAGGGAGAAGTGCTTAGCTGCAGCCTCACCCCTTCCAAGGGCAGTTCCCCCAGCTCTGCCTCCCAGCACTGGGTGCCCCATTGACAGGTGCTGGGGGGCAGGGTCCCTGGCCCCTCCACGATCCCTGATATCACATCCCGTGCGCAGGCTGAAGGAGTTCATTCGGTGAGCCGTGTGCCTGGGCCCCCCCCAGCCTCCGTGGCGGTGCTTCCGTCTGCCCGGCTCCTACCTCAGCTCCGCCTGACCTTGGCTTGCCATGTTTCGAATGGCGCCCTGCCAATGACAGGTGTTGGACGCTGGGAAAATCCACAGACGGAATCCTCCCCACCACCTCTCAGAAAGCCAGCTGTCTCACAGGAAAGCTCTCAGGTGTCCTGACTCCAAAAGGACACGTGCACCGTTGCCACCCCAGTTCTATCCCATTTCAGAGTCAAATGAAGCACTGGGATCCCGTGTCCGACACCAGCCCCCTGCGTCTGGGGAACGATGAACTGGGAGGGAGCCACCTGCCCCTCCCTGAGCGGTGCCCCCCCCCCACACTCAGACTGCATCAAGTTCCCGAGCAATCATGGGGAACACAGTGTTTTCTGGGTGCGCCACAGCCCACACAGGACAAGGACAGATGCGGCGGGTCTCTGCAGAGCTTCCCTTGTCCCTCAGCAGCCATGATGTGGGTCCCCGTAGAGAGAGCTCAGAGACAGGGAGTTCACGGGGATGTAGAATGTTCTGCTCTTGATATCCCGGGGCCCTTTAATCTAAGGGCTTGTGTCATCGTTGCAGACAAACTTAACACTAACAACCTATGCAGGTTTCCGTGAATGTCAGCGCTTACAAACACTGAAGCCTCCTAGTCTTCGAACAAACTCATCCAGAGGGTGAAAGCCGGATGAATTCTGAGGTGACCCTTGCTGACACAAAATGAATAAACCTTTGAGAATGTCTTTTAAAAAAAGGAAGAGAGTTTTATCCGAGCCCAAGTGAGGACAGCTGCCCGGGATGCACAGTCTTCACAAAGAACAGAGAGCTCAGGAGAGGGAATGTGTAACACAGGGTTGTACATGTGTTCTGTTACATTGAGACTTACAAATCATCCCGAGGACGGGCATTCCAGAAAATTACAAACTTTGTCTTGTGCTTTATACAAGGTTGCAGGCTTCAGAGGTGTGAGGACTAAGGGAGATTTTTACTCTTATCTTTAGTTTGAAATGTTTCTTTTAGGTTATTTGCTAACGAAGCAGATGTACAATGTATGCTCAGGGCAGAAACAGCCCATGCTTTGAAGTTTGGTGAAGTCATTCTGACCTTGGGAAACGGTGAAGAACAGCTTCCCTGGGAGCCCAGGGGCCGGGCCCATGGACATCAAAGGTTGAAGATTGCCTTTATGACCCTGAACAACGTCTTTCTCTCCACATTCCACACCCTGGGTAAGCCCCTGCTCTGCAGAAAACATACTCAAATTCAACAAACAGAAATACTAACTTTACTCCTTTTCCAATTTTTCGTATGAAATATTTCACACATATATACAAATAAAAACTATTGTAACAAATACATATGTCTTCATAATTCAGCTTAAGAAATAAAATGTTATTGATACAGTGAGCCCCCATCCACACCTGCCCAATCTCATTCCGGTCCATCACCCAGAGGCTACACTTGTCCTGGATTTGATGTCATCATCCCGATTGATTTCTTCATGTTCCTACTGTGTATATCTCGACACTCTATAGTATTGTTTGGGGGGCTTGTGTGTATACGGTCACATTGCACGTATTCTTTTTTTTTTTAAAGGTGAATATTCTTTTTTTTTTTAAAGATTTTATTTATTTATTCATGAGAGACAGAGGGAGAGAGAGAGAGAGAGAGAGAGAGAGAGAGAGAGAGAGAGAAGCAGAGGGAGAAGCAGGCTCCCAAGGAGCAGGGAGCCCAATGCGGGACTCGATCCCAGGACCCTGGGATCATGACCTGAGCCGAAGGCCGACGCTTAACCATCTGAGCCACCCAGGCGCCCACATTGCACGTATTCTAATGCAGCTCATTCCATAGTACATTGATGAGATGTGTCCATGTTGATCATTTCAAGTTGGTTCCCTATGCTTGCTTCTGTGTGGTGTTTTGCTGCCTACCATACGAACTTTTAGCAGTTCTCCTGTGGACAGCCGCTGTTGTGCTTTCCTATTTCTGTTATGAGCAATGCCACTCTGAGGATCTGGCACATCGTTCCTTGTACACGTGGAGGAGGGCATTTTCTCAGGGACAGACCCGGGTCGACGCTGCTGGCTTGTGGAGCCTGTGATCTTCAACTTGACCAAATACCACCGAGTTCCCTCCAGATCGGTGTGCGCTGCACACTCCCCACTCCCCAGCCAATGACGTCCAGGGGCTCCTCATCCCTACCTGCTGCAGGGCGTCAGGGGTGAGGTCTGTGTGGGAGCTGGTGACTCACTGAGGCTCTGACTCCTGCTGCTGGGACCCACGTGCGTGGCGCTCTCCTTTTCTCTCTCTTTTCATTGATTTCTGAGAATTCTTTGCATTTTCTGGATAATAATTCATTGGTTATGTATGTTATAAATAGCATCGAGTGTTGTGGCCCATCTTTTAACCTTTTTATGCAGAAGCTTCTAATTTTTATGTAGCTGAATTTATCAATCTTTTTCTTGATGGTTTTTGCTTTCTGTGATAAGAAGTCTTCCTTACTCTGAAGTCATAAAGCTCATCTATTCTCATCTAAAACTTTTAAAGTCTTATTTCTAACATTTTGGCCTTTAGCTGCTCAAGATGAATTGTTTATCAGGTCTGAGATAGGAAACTGATTCTGTGTTTTGTCTTTTTTAGATAAGATAAGCAGTTTCTCAGCCCCACTTACTGAACTGGCCATGCTTTCTTCACTCACCTTCGTGGTCACTCTATCACATTGTAAGAGCCCCTGGAAGGATGGGGTCTATTTGTGCTCCATTTGTCTCACCTGGGCCAAAACTACCCTGTCTTACTTGCTATTGAATGAAAATAAGTCTTGGTATCAAATGCAGCAGGTCTTTTTTACCCTCACATTGTTTTTTTTCAGTATCACCTTGGCTCTATGCTCCCAAAGATTTTAGAGACAGCTAGTCATTGACACAACTCTAACTTAACTAGGTTAGCTCACTTCCAAATTAAATGAGATTTTTTTCTTTTCTTTTCTTTTCTTTTTTTTTTTTTAGAGAGAGAGGGGGGGAGAGGTGGTGGGGAGGGACAGAGGGAGAGGGAGAGGGAGAATCTCAAGCTGACTCCCTGTTGAGCATAGAGCCCGAAGCGGGGCTCCATTTCACAACCCTGAGATCATGACCTGAGCCAAAACCAAGAGTCAGATGCTTAACCGACTGAGCCACCCAGAGGCCCCTGAATGCGATGTTTTATGTGGAAATGTTTTATAAACAGTGGAGGGCTATAAAAATTGAAGGTGTGGATAGTCACATTGTGGAAATGTGATTTATGTGGGTTTAAGAGCATTTCATGTATTCCATGTATCTACAAGTATGTAACTTGCTTACAAGTAGAGAAATATAATTTGGTTTTTATTACTTTCCGTCTCTCATGTCATGGAGCCTGTGGGTACTCAGTAAATGTTGTTTGCATGGAATCCTCAGTCGGGCTCAAGGCTGACCTGTTAGCTGTTTCTGTTTTGTTTTTATCCTAAATCTTCCTTCATTTATCACCATCTTTTTGAGGTGAGGGCAAGATGTTTTTGCTTTTTTTTTTCTCTTAAGAAGTACTAGACACACAGAGTATTTAATAAATTACTCCCTATTTCTACTAGACAGAGCAAGTCAGATTTCAACAGGAAAAATACAATAAAAATGACTTTGGGTTTAAAATTTAATTTCCCATGATTTGATAAGACCATTTGCTAAATGCACGTGTATTCCATTTGCTTTTGTCACTGATTTCCACATATTTGAAATTTCATTTCACGTTGAAAAGTCTTTAGGAAGCTTTATTATTTAGCCCTGAAAATAGGGTAAGTACAACAACTTTTGTGTTACAAGAATTGCCATTTTGTTCTCCCATATATTCAGCCACCCTTTGGGCTTGATGCTCCAGTCGGTGCTTGTTCAAAGATCAATGGGGCATGCTCCCGGCACTAACAGATCTTAGATCCATCAGGAGTAAGAGATGTCCCCGAATTCCTGAGGCAAGTTAGATGACCTCAGAAAGGAAAAGTCACATCTGTTTGGAGTGACTCATTCATTTCTTCATCAAACAAGCCTTTTTGATTGACACCCACAAACAAGCCCACTGAGTTTCTGCAAGTGCCAAGCACTGCCTGGGGGGGCCCTCCCAGGATGGGTGGAAGCCGCCTCTGCCCTTGGAGCCCACGGTCTACTTAGGAAGACAGACATCAGACAAAGGAGGAGTAGAGAGTGTGGTGGCGCAGAGAGCCAAGGGATCGAATGTGACGGGTCAATGGGAGATCCCAGGGAGGAGATGGAATTTGCTGCAAGTCCTGACAAGTGAGCGGCTGTGGATGAAGGATTGCGTGGGGAGCAGGGGACCCGACCCGCCCAGCCCGGGAGGGTTTGAGTGGTCATATCCCTGTGTCTTGAAGTACTCGTCAAAATTGTCATCACACTGCTGAACTCCACCTGGGCTAAGACCCGTTGCTCATCTAGCTCCTCTGTTCTGCAGCTTATTTGTTTTTTGACCTTACACTTATTTTGTTTTTGTTGGTAAATTCTGCCTTCCAGTCTGTCAGTGTAGTTAGAGGCCTGCCTTCCGTCATTGTGCAAGTGAACTGTCCCTTCAGCTTCAGGAAGCGATGGGCTTCACCTGGGCGCCAGCAGGAGCGCCACACAGCAGAGGGCCAAGGGTGTGCCCATCCGAAACCTCCTTCCTGGTTGGCCCGCATTCACCACCAGGTCTGGTTCAGTCCGTCAGGCAGCTGGGATTCCCACAGCCATTATTTCTCCATGCTCTTCCCCATGCCAATAAGAAAGCCTTAGTGAGTGTCTTTGCTAAGACCAGAGATGTGTTCTTCATGTCTCCCTCAGACACCTGTCTGGTAACCTCCCCCCAAAAGAGAAGGACAACTCTGTGATTATCATTGATCTCAACTTCCTCTCTAACAGCTGCCCACAGGTCTCCTGGCCAACTGTTCACAGAATCCTCCTTTCTAAACAGCTCTGCCTGTTTCCAGTCCTTGATACCAATTTGTCTTCTTCACAAATCACCCAGAGTGGGTCTTCAAGTACTGGTGGCTAAGCTGTGACCCAGTGGTAAACTGGGGTGAGGAGGGACAGGCCCTAGGCATGCAGGTACCTGGGCCATGCCCACACACCTGCTCCCCAGCCTGCACACCTGCTCCCCAGTCCGCACACCTGCTCCGCAGCCCGCACACCTGCTCCCCAGTCCGCACACCTGCTCCGCAGCCCGCACATCTGCTCCGCAGCCCACACACCTGCTCCCCAGCCAGCACACCTGCTCCCCAGACCGCACACCTGCTCCCCAGACCGCACACCTGCTCCCCAGCCCTCACACCTGCTCAGCAGCCCGCACACCTGCTCCCTAGCCACACACCTGCTCCCCGGCCCACACACCTGCTTCCCAGTCCACACACCTGCTCCCCAGCCTGCACACCTGCTCTGCAGCCCGCACACCTGCTCCCCAGCCGCACCTGCGCTGGACAGTGCTGTCAGCCGAGAGTGGTGGGCATGGTGTCAGAAGGGGCTGAGTCCAGTCTGCCAGGAAGAGTACAGTGTGGAGGGGAAGTCAGAAGGGAGGGAGCAGAGAGAAACACGGGGTGCTCATCCAGAGAAAGCCCTGTTGTTGCCTGGACCTCCACAGAATCCTGCAGTTGGGACATGATTTCTCTTCCCTGCCTCCATTCCTCCAAAGAAAACAGGCTTCCTTCTCCTGACGCAAGAGGAAAGAATGTTGTATAAACAGAGACACTTAGAACCAAAATGTTTAGAGCTTTTCCCCACACAAACCACCCATGATTTAGTTCATGATGAGCAGATTCCAGGTTGTATAACCAAAGTCTTGAAGTTCAAAGGGTCATCTGATTCCAAGTTCTCCATCCAGACCTAGCTTCGAGATCACATGAGCTCAGAAAGCCTAGCCTGACTTTCCGTTTCTTTGTTGCCTCTGCCTGTCTACACTGTTGAGAATCCGGTCCTGATTTTGCAAACCATTTCATCCATCGATAAGCCTCTCTGCATTGTTCCTGTTAGAGCATACAAGCCTGTGAGAAAATTAAAACATGGTCTGTCTGCCCCCATGGCCTTTTGTAGGGACCCCTTCCTCCCACATGGGGCTGAGGGGGAGGGTGGGGATGATCTGTAGCAGCGGGCCGGCGAGGCTGCAGCGGGGGCGGGGGGGCAGCAAATAGGGGCCCCGCACTCCATTTTGGCCTGTGATGCCTTCGTCCCCCTTTTCTCTCCCTCTC